CATATTTTCATGCGATTTTTATAAATTGTATTCCCTTATGCCAAGAGGGCATTCTGAATTGACAAAGTTTGTTAAAATCGGTCCAGCCATTCTTGAGATGTAAGCATTCTAGACAACATCCCCTTCCTTTGTATATACAAATTGTATATATTTCGCTACATATATCCGATATATCTACTACCGGCATCTACGAAATGGTCAGAATTGACCTTTTCGTCTTTTTGTGATTTCGCCGGCATTAAAAATATTCGCTGTTTAATGGAAAATTTGACTTTTATTTATCACAAATGCTATGGTCTATTTCAACCACTAAATATTACCCGATGACCATCAAAATTCGAAGGCTTCTGCCCAGCCCAAATCTTTAGCCCCATGCTAACTTTCTCTTTGATTGGTCTATAATTGCGACCTGTAGAGCAATTGCAAAATCAGGATTTTTTAATTTCAACCCCTAAATATTATCCGATCATCTTCAAAAGAAATAGGGTTCTATTCTGACCGTAACCCCACCTATATTTTAAATTTCGTGAAGATCGGGCCATAATTGCGACCTGTAGAGTGATTACAAATTAACATGGACAGACGGACGGACGGACATACATAGCTAGATCGACTCAGCTCGGCGAGATAGGAAGATCCATATATACTTTCCTATGTGGGAAATCAATATTTCGTGGTGAAACATAATTTTTGGCCCAATCAAACTTATAATACAAAGAAGAACTCTGAAAGGTTTTCTAACGAAAAGACAAAGAGGACATATCGAAGATATTCTGCGAAATTAATAATTGTTAAAATTCTGCTATGACAAATGGTACTATATTGTGAACAGACAATACAGACGTTTTGAAGATCTTCCGTGAAACAATGGTGGGATCGAATAAGATTCTAAGATTCTCCATAATAATAGCTTCCTGTAGTATATATCTTTAAATGGCCTATTATTGCCGAATTTTGAGGAAAATAAAAACAAATAAAAAGCTGTAAGTTCGACCGGGCCGAACTTTGAATACCCTCCACAGTTTTGAAAAAATTTGGCAATATTCAAAAAAATAAAATCCGTTAAAAATCATGTTAAAATCTTAAAAATACCGAATGCAGCCGTTATATTATGGTCTATACGACCTGGACCTGCTAAGGCAACTTTTGTCATAAGTCATTACAATATTCAAATGCGAAACTAAAAAAATCGGAGAATAATGCCGCTACAATCATCAAAATACAAACACGTGGATCTGCACCGACCATTTTCTGTCATAGGCTGAAGTATACAATACGAACTTTAAATACCATATTTAAAACAATTCCGGTCAAAACTATGTCGTAAATATTATCAAAATACCGAATATTGGGAGGCTATACGAATACGTAGACCTGCACGGACAATTTTCTGTCTTAGGCCGTAACAAACAATTCCAGTGAATAATGTCGCTTAAATCACCAAAATACCGGAAACAGGGAGGTACCACTATATGGGGGCTATACCAAAACGTGGACCTAAATGACGCATTTTCAATACCAAAAGTCCTGCAGATATAATAAATATTTGAGTAAAATGTTATCAATCTACTTCAATTCGTCCGGAAGCTAGAGTGATTTCCACAGATGGATAGACAAATAGACGGTCGGAAGTAGCTAAATCGACTTAGAATTTTATGCTGATCAAGAAAATATATACTTTGTGGGATCTAAAATATATATTTCGAGGTGTTACATTTTTTTTTTTTTTTTAAAATGGTTATTATTGATTAAATTTATTGATTAAAAAATTGGCATTACAATAACCTACGAAGCCAAAATGGCTTGTGTGTAGGATATAAAAATTAAAAAATATATTCAAAATGTTAACAAAAATCAAAAAAAAAACTAAAACTAGACTGTAGACTTCATATATTTTATATAGTTTCTTTGCTAATTTCAGTGATTTTCTAATAGTTTACTTGTTTAATAAATAGTTTTTCATATGTTTAATTTTTGTGATTTTATTTCTTATTTCTAAGACATCTTTCGGGAATTCATTCAGAATGCTTGGCAGAGCGACATCTAGGGAGAACTTCCCATATTCATTTCTAAATCTCGGTATGAAGTAGCGACCATCCAATCTTCTTCTGGTATTTTGTTGATGGCTGATTTTTTTCGCGAGGCTTGGATCTTCCATAAATTCGCATGCTATTGTGATTGCGTACAGTTCTTTAATGTTTAATATACGTTGGTTTCTATACATTTGTCTCATATTGTCGTGTTTTCTATGTTCCTCATAGGTGTTGTTTGATACATGATGACATTTTTTGAACAGAGATTTTACTATTCGGTCTTGTGTTTCCTGTAGAGATCTGCAGCAGCGCGCGTTTCCCCAAGCTGAAATGCCATGTCTTAAGTGGGACTCTACTATCGAATAGTATACCTGTTTCAAGACGTTATATGGAGCACAGTTGCCAAGGTGGTACAGGGCAAATGACGTTTTATTTAGTTTCTTCTGTAAGTTTTGTATGTGTGTTTTCCATTTAAAGTTGTGATCGAGATGAACACCTAAATATTTGTAGTTTTCTACCAGTTCTAAGTATGTTGTACATTTTTCTTCTCGCTCTTCTCCAGCATCCCGGATTTGTGCATGGAGGCAGTCATTATTATGATAAACAATGCTGATGTTGTTTTTTGGTACACTTCTAGGTCTGATATGCATTATTTTTGTTTTGTTTGCATTAATTACAAGACCATTGTCATGGCACCATTTTGTGATAATATTGAATTCATCCTGCATTATTTTTGTTGCTTCGGCGATTTCTTTGTGTGAAACTATCATGGCGGTATCGTCAGCATATGTAAACGACGTACTTTGATGTAGATGCTTAGTCATTTCATTGGTGTATATAAGGTACAAAATTGGTCCTAGTTTTGAACCTTGAGGAACTCCGTAACGAGTAGATAGCTTATTGCTGTTAGTATTAGCAACTTTTACGTTGAAAGATCTTGATAAAAGGTATTCTTGGAACCATCTTAAGCAATGGCCTCTTATCCCAGTGTTATCTAATACATTCACTATTTTTTCGTGTGAAAGTGTGTCAAAAGCTTTGCTGAAATCTATAAAAAGTGCAATGCAATTATTATGTTGACTGAGTGTTTTGTTAATGTAATTGCTAAAATGGCCAAGTAGCTTATTTATGTTTTTGCCTTTCTGAAAACCATATTGATTTTTATTTATTATCTTGTACTTTTTTAAGAAACTGTTCAGTCTCCGTACAATTATCTCTTCTAAAACTTTTTCCAATATAGGCAGAATAGAGATTGGTCTGTAGTTACCATAATCTGATTTGTTGCCTCCTTTATATATGGGTCTTATTATAGATTCTTTTAGCAATTGTGGCACAGTTGGCTCTCTTATACTTCCATTTATGAGGTTTGTAATTATTGGTGTAAGAATAGTGGCATTGTTTTTTATATCAATTGCTCTTATGTTATCCACCCCTGAACTTTTACTTGTGTTTATTGTGCACAGTATAGTATGTATCTCTGATTCAGTAGCGTATTCCATAAACATTGAGTTCGACAAGTTTATCTCGACTCTGGATCTCAACGTAACAATATTGCAGGAATGCACAATATTTAACACATTTTGGTTAAATTGTGTAGCGAAGTTGTCAGCTATTTTCTTTATGTTTTCCCCAGAGAAGTTATGTATAATGACATCATCAATATTTTTGACCCTTTTTCCTGTAACCTCGTTTATAATTTTCCAAGTTTCTCGCGGATTATGTTTATGTTTGACGAACTGGTTATACAAATGTCTGTTTTTTGCATTTAAAATTTCTTTGTTTAGTTTGTTATTAAAGTTTTTGTATATTATTTCGTTTGTTTTGTTATTTTTGTTTTGGACCCACTTTTTGTATAATCTGTCTTTTATTTTACATGACTTCAATATCGATTCTGTTAGCCATGGATAAGGATTACGTCTTTTGTATATTGTGTGTTCTTTTTTAGAGCTCTCGTATATTTTGTTGAATACGTTATGTATATTGTTATAGAGTTCGGTTGTGTTATAAGAATTGTTAATTATATCTTCCCAATTAATATTTTTTATTTGGTTATTTACTTTTTTGGTATTTATTCCATATTTTGTAGATTCCGTATTTTCTGTTTTGTGTTGTTTCGTGGACTGATTTATACATCCAAATAATGCATAATGATCAGATATTGGTGTGGTTATTATTGCGGAGTATACTTCGCTCAGGTTTTTATCCCATCTAATAAATATATGGTCTATACAGGTTTTTGTATTCCTATTAACGTCTTCTCTCGTCGGTTTGAATGTCATACTTTCAAACCCATTTGATGAAAGTATGTTTAAATATCTTGATGTCACTGCATTTTTTTTAATGATATCGATGTTCATGTCTCCTAAGAGGATCACTTTGTTCTTTTTGCCAATATCAGATATATTTCGATCTAATTCATTAAAAAACTCTGATATATTTTGGTTGGGCGGACGATAAATTGCCAAAATAGTTGCTATTATATCTGTTGAATTGGATATCTCAAACCCTATGATTTCTGCCGAGTTCATAAAAAGGTGTTTATTTTTGAAATAGAAAGATTCTTTGATATAGACAGCTATTCCTCCTCCTTTGCTATCTCTGTTTTTAAATATGGCATTGAATCCATTAATGGAATAAAAAGGATTCTCATCATCAGTTATGTTAGTCTCACAAAGAACTATCATATGTATTTTTTCTAGAATTTTTGATGCATTTGTTATGAATTTCAAAAAGTTCTTTCTCATTGATCTTATATTTAAATGTATAATATTTAAGGAAAAGTTAACATATTTTGTTTTAATTTCATTGAAATTACTTAGTATTTCTTCAATCGAATCCATGTTTTTTTTATTTTATTATTATTTTGTTAGCACAAAAAGTGTGTGTAAAAAGTTTTTTTTTTATTTCTTTATTATATTTTCGCTTTTGATTTAATAATTTGGCATAAATGTTGAAGATGTAAATGTTTTAATTTGCACAGGTAATGTTTTCAATATCAGATGAATTACTAATTAAAATGAAAGGGGAATTTTCAATTCTGCGGGCATAAATGACTCCGTTTCTAACCCAGACAAATTTCCAACCGCATTCCCTAGCTTTTGTTTTGGTTAGCCAAAGCAAACGACGATTGTGCGGAGTGAGTTCATCATTTAAGTAAATTGTATTACTCTCATTTACTCTCATTTCTCCGTTCTCATTTGATTCTCCGTTTCCGTTACTTATTTGTAATGAGTGTCTCTTTATTTTGCTCATTAGTTCTCGTTTTTTATTGAGAGTTGAGAATTCGATAATGAGTTTTTTCTTTTTGGGTATCTTGTAAGCTCTCTCAATGTCGTTGTTGCTTATTTGCACACCTGTTTTAAGCACTATCTCTTTTATTATATCGTCGACATTAACGTTTATGTTGGATATGTTGCTTATTTCTATGTTTTTGTTGATGGACTTTTGCTCAAGTTGCTCAATTTTTTGATTTAGTTGCTCTATTTGCTTGCTCTTTTCCTTATCTCTTGTTTGGAGATCATGTATTTGAGCTGTTAGTTTCTCCATGTTTTGCTTCATTTCAGCCGTATGTTGTTCGAGCTTTTCGCTATTTTGTTCGAGTTTGGCACTCATAGTTGTTATGCTCAGCGTGAGTTGTTTAATACAATTCTCCAGGCTAGTCAAGCCTGCCTTTGGAACTTCTACGTCTTTGTTTTGTGAGGTGTTTTCGTTGTAGTTTAATGATGATGTTGGTGTACTTGAATCTCTGAATCTTTTGCTGCAAGTACCATTAGTTTCATTGCTCTCACAAAGTTGTTGCTTTCCGTGGTGTTGCTCATTCTCAGGAGGTATTACCATATAGCCTATGTTAGGAGATTTTTGTGAGCAAAATTTACATCTCCATCCAACTCTCTTCACTTGGCTCATGCTTTTGTACGAACTTGCGGAGAGTGAACAGCATGGAGAAAAATGAAATTGACGACCGCAATTGTGACACTGGACGTATAAAAATGTTTTAATTTCCATTTCACATTGTCCACAAATGATTTTGGTTTGTTGTTCTATATCCGACATTTTTACTGGTGTACAATTTCAGCAGAAAGAAGGTTTGATGGTTTGTTATTGGGTAACTTTAATTTAAATTTGATTTCACGATATTTAAAAACAAGACTCGAGTATGCGTGTATTCAGAAAAAGCGTGCGATTAATTTGAAGGCTACAGCGAGACATACGGAATGACAATCTTAATATACCCTCCATACTATGGTGGAGGGTATAAAAAGCCATTCTATGGCAAATACCATTAAACGTCTTTCCAAAGGGTTCCACAAAAGTTTTCAAGTTTTTATACCCTACAACACTATGTGTTGGGGGTATTATAAGTTTGATTGGGCCAACAATTATGTAACACCACGAAATATTGGTTTCCCACATAGGAAAGTATATATAGATCTTCCTGTCTCGCCGAGCTGAGTCTATCTAGCTATATATGTCCGTCCGTCTGTCCGTCTGTCCATGTTAATTTGTAATCACTCCACAGGTCGCAAGTATGGCCCGATCTTCACGAAATGTATAATGGAGGTGGGGATAGGGTCAGAATAGAGCCCTATTTCTTTTGGAGATGATCGCATAATATTTAGGAGTTGAAATGGACCAAAAATTGAACAAATGCATGATTTTGCAGTTGCTCTACAGGTCGCAATTATAGACCAATCCAAGCGGAAGTAAACATGGGGCTAGAGCTTAGGGCTGGGCAGAAGCCTTCCAATTTTGATGGTCATCGGGTAATATTTAGTGGGTGAAATAGGCCACAACATTTGTGTTAAATAAAAGTCAAATTTTCAATTAAACCGCGAATTTTTTTAACCAGGCGAAATCACAAATAGACGAACAGGTCTATTCTGACTGTTACATAGATGCCGATGGTAAATATATTGGTTATATATAGCGAAATATATACAATGTATATATACAAAGGAAGGGGATGATAGTTAGAGTGCTTATTTCTCAAGAATGGCTGGACCGATTTTGACAAATTTTGTAAATTCAGAATGCCCTCTTGACATAAAAGCATAAAATCTAAAAAAATCGCAGAAAAATATGTCAATAATGATGTTAATATAGATTTTGTGGTATTTTGTGACATTTTTTTTATCAAATTTTTTTATGGCATGCGATTTTTTCAATTTGACTTATAATATTTTATAATATATTCTCACCTTACAACACAGGATAAGGATATTATATAAGTATTGCAAATATTGTCCAATCTTCACGAAAATTTTCTCATGGGTAGGGTTGGGCTCAGAAGGGCTAGGCCTATTGTTTTCAAAGATGTCCGCAATATATTAGGGGGTTGAAATGGATCAACAACTAAAAATTTTCCTGATTTTGCTACCGTTATAAAGGTCACAGATAGAAACCAAAGGACCCGAAATCTCGCATAAAGTTAGAGTTTAGGACAACGGGTGCAATGGACCACTAATTTTGTGCAAAAAAAAAAAACAGCATTACTTGCAGGCGATATCTGAAATACACAAAAGGCGAACTTCTGGCTTTTTTATGCTGATGTCGTTGACGAATGTAGCCAAATATATAGACAAGTAAATCATATATATGAGTCTATATTTAGGGAAACAGAGGGGCCTCTTGCTTTTGGAGATGATCGCAAAATATTTAGGGGTTCAAATGAACCAAAAACAGAAAAAGTTTTTTGATTAGACAATTGAAGCCAATCGACACTCCTGAGAAGAGACTTAGAGCAGGAAAGAATTCTACCATTTTGGATGACCATTGGATTTTATTTAGCTGTAAAATGAACCACAACAGCTAACAGTACGACGGACTGCGTAAATGTTGGGCAAATGTCCCTTTTCAAAATGCTAAGGGTAACATCTGGGCAGTGCTCTATGACATAATTTCAAAAGCGAAACCTTCCAACATGGATTTGGACAAAAGGGGGATTCTAACATATTGTGGTGTTGTAGGGTCGGCCCCGCACGACTTTAGCCTTTGCTTACTTGTTTTTTATAAAAAGGCAAAGAAGCCCATTTGAAGATCTTCCGTAAAATAAGGACTCGGTTAAGGCATTCTTTGAAATTTTTTTCTGTTATTCGATAATTATAACTTCCGGATTGTCAAACTTTGTGAAGAATTATCCCCACATATTACATATCGAATATTTCTGTTGTTTTTTTTTTTTTTTTTTTTTTAATTTTTACTTATTTGCAGATTTAAAAGCGAAGTCCCACTATTCATCATTTCAAATTTTTTTAATTTTAAATTCCATTTTGAATTGGTTTCGGCATCAGAATCAACAATTGTTAATATGCAAATTTTGTATTGGAGAAATGTGTTCTAAAAAAAGTGCTCTCTCTCTCTTAAATGTATACTCTCTCTTAAATTTATTGCTACTTCTCTTAAAACACCCCTTAAAAACAGGTTTGTTTACAAAACAGCAGTTGAATGCTGGAATCAAAAACAACCTGTTTGCTTTAGCACCACCATACCTAATACACTTACTTCTGCAAAGTTCTCTCTCACCTACCCTCGCTCTCTTTCTGAGTTGGTTTGGTTTCATGAGAGTGTGTGTACAACATTTGTGACGTTCTGTTTGGTATAAAAGGACGAATGAAATAGTGAAACGAATTTAGACCTAAAACAAGTGTCGTCGAGAACATTTAACGAACGGACGAACGAACGGTTGATTGGGCGAAACTAAAAGGATATTCACAGAGAAAAAAATAACAAAACAGAAAGTTTTGAATACACATACAGATAAGCAAAGAAAGTTTTAGTGAGTGCGCGAGTGTTTGTGAGACAAACACAAAAACACGCACAAATTAGCAACACTAGCATAGTGTTGTGCATGAGTGATTGATTGATTGATTTCGTTGCGAAGGATTCAAATGGAATACTAACGATGGTCGAATAGAAAAGTGCTGGAAAAAAATATTTGAATTTTTTTCGGGAAAAAATTCCAAACAATTATTGAATTTAAGTGATATTTGAGGTATACTATATCCGTTTTGCAATTGCCGGATAATATTAAGAATAACAACAATAAATTTACAAAGAGTGAAAAACGATCAAGTGCAAAATGTTAAATTTACAGCACCGGTATCTGGGGCTAATTATACCCATAATCGCTTTACAGCTCATAATAACGTCCGGTTTGACCGGCTGGTCTGAGGCCAGCATTATCATCGACATGAATAACATGTTGCGCGATACCTCAACGGAAGTGAACACAATGCCCTCAACAGTGACAACATCCTCGGCGGCAGCATCCTCCTCATTGTCCGATAAACATCGACAAATGACCGAAAATATTTTGCGCAGCGATAGCAAAGATGCGGCCAACAATGGTGGTGGCGAAAATGGTATCTATGCCAGCTATAATGAACCCAGTGCAGAGCTCTTACGTTTTGTCGAAGACGATGACGACGACGATAGCGGTGACGACAATGATGAGAGTGGATATGCAACAGATTCAGAGTCAGAATATGGTGCATCTGATAATAGTGTTGACAATGACATTCATTTGCCATCGCGACAAAGTCGCCAATCCAACAGCAACAATAATGACAACTACTTGGAAGACAATGACAACAACTCGTATATGCAATCTCTATCGCTGAGAGATCAAGTGCGACTATTAACCAAACAAGTCAATGTTTTAATGAATCGTCGACGTGAGGATTATGAATTGTTGGAACGTAATTTACGTAAATCTCTGAGGATAAATCAAAACAAACACCAGGATGAGCTAAAGTCACAGGATGCTGCCACAACAACAAACAGGAAAAATAATGATTTGGATTTACTCAAAGAACTGGAGACGTTGAGGTTAGTAGACTGAAAATGAAAAAGAAAAAGGAAATTCTCAGAGAGCGTTTTTCTTTGTTTGCCTTGCCTTTGGTGTGAAGCATTGAAAATTTTATGAAACAATTTGAATGTAATTAGAGCACGAAAAAACCCCAAAATGGGAATTGAAATCTCAAGGCAAAGAATTAATCTTATTATGTGGGATGTTTCAAGGGAATGTCGAAATGTTGAAAATATGGAAATTTTGAAAATGAATTTTACAGAAACTTGTCGTTTTCATAAAATCATGAAAATTAATTGAACATAGGTGTGTATTTGTAATTAATTGCAAAGCACTTCATTAGTTCAATAAATGTGAATTTCATATTAACATCTGCAGATCGAAATTTATATATAAAATTTAAAAACTATTTTCAATTCCCAAAGCTTGGATATTTAAAACTTTTTGAAGCGTCCAACTTCAGGTAAATAAAGAAGGATTCTTAAACCCAAATTTTTGGTTAGTGCGCGTGAATTTTTCACATTTTTTCAAACCCTTAACACAAATTTAATTTTTATATGTAAGTTTAATTTTTTAACACCAACTTAAGGTCGGTAGGCCGAGGGTTTAGATCTGTTTAAGCCTCCATTTTTAACTTAATTCTTGTTGACATTTGAGACTTTTACAAACCTAGAATTTAAGGTAAATTGCCGCGGATTTTTAAATTTGATTTCAAATCTCCAACACAGGTCCGTATTTTTGTAACGTCGAATTTTTGGTTTTTAGATGTTTTCAAAACCCCAATTACAAGTTTTGTGGATTTTTTTTTTTTGATTTTACGACAATATTTGTGGATTGTAAAGATTTCTTCAAAACCCCGATTAAAACCTATTGAGAAATTTTTAAAAAACATGTTTCAAACCCTCCAATTTCTGGTCGATAGGCTTAGATTTTTCGACCCCCCCCCCCCCCCCCATTCCCATATTTAAAGATTTTGATATTCCCCAAATTACTTGTTAATAGGAGTGATTTTTTGCAGATTTTTAAGCTGTCCAAATTCCCCAAATTCACGTTAACGATTTGCTTCAATCCCTTAATTTCAGATCAATGGGTGCCAAATTTTCCGATTATTTTCAAACCTCAATTACAGGTCAATTGATGTAGGTTGATAAGCATTCTTTTGTCGAAATTCAGGTCGATAATTATGAATTCAAAAAAATTATACTCAAACCTCAACAATAGGTCAATTTTTAAAATATTTTCAAACCCCACATTTAGCTTTCAAATCCCAAATATAGGGAAATCTGGAGATTTTGACTCAGGTCAACATTAAAATGGATTTTCGAGATATTTGTAAACCAAAAATTTCAACTTAATGGGTGTGGGCAGATCAACAGGTCTCAAATTCAGCTCCAGATTTCTAAAAATAATTTCAAACCCCAATTTCAGGTTGGGATTCTTAAGAACAGTTTTCAACCCCAATTTCAGGCCTTGATTTTTAAGATTTATTAAAAAACTTATATTCAAATCAGTAGGTCATATTTTTATGGTGCTGATTTTTAAGTTTTTTAATGCCAATTATTCATAGGTGAAGTTTCAAAAATGTGTTCGGTGTGTTCCACTTTTAGGGTTGGATTTTTTAAGAAGAGTTTCGAACTCCAACTTCAGTCAGCGATTTTATGAAATTTTCCAAAACTCTATAAACATCTATAGGCACCATTTTTGAAGATTTTTTAAAGCATCTGTCAGTCATTGAACCCTAAAATCAGAGGTGGCCTACCAGTGATTGAGCCCTAAATTCAGAGGTGGAGTTTCTAAAAATGTTTCGATGTGCCCAAATTTCAGACATGACATTTTTAAGATTAGGTGCCTTTTTTTAAGAATTGTTTTATGATTTTCAGAGGTTTTTTGAAAATATTATGTTCAATTCAATAGGCATGAATTATCAGGAATACTAATACCCTACACAACACTGTGGTGCACTGAGTTGATTACACCGAGTTGATCTATGGCTGTCCGTCCGTCTGACCATGTATTTTTCTAAACAAATAACAGGTAGTATTTATTTTTTCCAAATCATTTGTTTGGGCCTTATTGGTGGGAATCGGTCAAAATTTAGATATTACTCCTATATATACAGGGTGAGATAAAAATAAACTGCAACAAAGTCGATTTTTATTTTTTAATTTTATTGAATGAAAGCAAAAATGTCGGAAAATCTCAAATATCAAAATAAGTTTAGATTTGTTCGAATTGGTCACCTTTGGCACTTAAAACGGCCAAAGAAACCGTCACACGCTGCCCGAATATTGCTCTGTGGTATTTTGGTTCATTCCCGGCGAAGCGCTTGCTTGAGGTGATCGACACTTTGGTATTATTTAGTGCCAACCTTGCTTTCCAAAATACTCTAGACATAATAGTCCAACGGATTGGTATCCGGAGATTTTGGTGGCCATTGTGCTGGAAATGAAGCGAAGAAGAGAAGACCACCGGCTGTTATGGCGCTTGAGTTCTGGTGGCCAACCGAAGGTGCACATTTTCAGCTGACCTCTTTGGAAAGTAAACACGATCATGCGAACAAACCGCTGGACAACGAATGTTCTCTCATCGGAAAAAAGCAAAGTCGGCAGTTCACCACTTTCGGCCAAGCGAAGCAACTCTTTAGCTCTTTTGAGTCTATTCTCTTTCTGTTGCGGTGTAAGTTCTTGCACTTTTAGAAATTTCAATGGCTTCACCCCGAGCTAATTTTTCATATTTTCCGAATGGAATCAGCTAACGAGCCATTTTCGGCCACTGCGACACGGGTTCCGATCAAGTCGCTTCTTTACTTTTCGAACCATTTCTGCTGAAGTTGCTGTTTTCTTTCATCCATTTCCTTGACGTCGGGCTACGCTACCAGTAGCACAGTAACGAGCGATGGTATCAGACACAAAAGATTCATTCACATTAAAATGCTGGAGTGCTCTAACGACAGCCACTTGTGGTTTTCCAGCCAAATATAAAGAAACCTCACAATCACGCTTGAAATCCATCACGAATAACTTTTTTCTGGAAAATTCTCACCAAAATGCTTTTGTACGCTTCTAAACAATATAATGAGATGTCACTGAAATATTTTTAACAGCTATCGGACCAGTGTCTTAGAAATGTCAGCACTCTGAAGTTGTTTCCAGTTTTTTCACCTCACCCTGTATATCACCTCACCCTGTATCCGATTCACATTTTATTGTGCGCCATATGTTTAATATTCGTCATAGTAGGATGGATTTCGAGATATCTGAGCTAATGCAGAAGCAAGTACTTTAAATTTGGTGAAAATCGATTCAGACATAAATATAGCTCCCGTATATATGTTTCATCCCATTAGATGTTTAAGTCCCTCAAATTCGCAATGTGCACTCCCAAAACAAAGATGTTTGGTACCAGACCGCTTAGAAGTACCTCTGCCAAGATTTATGAATTCCATACATATCTCTATACGATTTCACTGTAATTGTGCCTCAAATGGTATGGATTTTTGCAAATTAAACCACATTTTCCATTTGGTGAAACTCGGTTCCAATATACGATACATATCATATAATATAATCCTTCTCGAAGTCATATCATGCACTCTATTGCAATGTTATTTGGTACGACAAGTAAAAATGCCTACGTCACATTTGGTGGTGGATATACATCTCATATATTATTTCCCTCTGATTCCCAATAATAAATCCTCTAAAGCCATAGTATGCACTCAGAAAAGGTTTATAGTTGATATGATCTCTAACTAAATAGGCAAAGTGGTAGTTTAGCCCACTACCATGTTCTTCATGGAATCCATAATTTCCGAAAATTCCACAAATTAATGTCCGAACGTTATTCACCCAAAAACCACTCACTCTCCATTTCCAAATAAACGCAATCAATATTTCACTATAATTCCAATACAATCCAATTTCACTTCATTTTCTTTTTGTGTCTGTGTGTGTGTTTGTGTTTTTTTTTTGTGTCTAACCCCAACAAATTGTATTTAAATTGTTGTTACTGTTGTTATTTGGTGTTTTTTTTTGCTTCACATTTCCTCTTAAATGAGGAAATAGCCCCAAGGAAGAAACAAAAAGACAGGCTGTTGTTTTTGCTGTTGTTGCCGATGTTGCCGTTCTGTGTCCGAGTTGATTGTTATTGATAAGTATTGGCTTATAAATGTTGGAAATTGCTTTAGCTTTTGTTGTTGTTGCTACTTTTTTTTCTGTACACTTTTTCTCCTTTGGCATTGGATATAGGCCCACTATTGATATATTGACTTTGATGGACATTTATTGAAGTGGGCTCATGAGGGGGGCGATATGTTAAATCATGCATAATTGAATTAATGGCTCAGTCACATGGAAACGCCAAATGTTGGCCAAAATACTGCACATACAGGGTGAGATAAAAAAAACTGCAACAAAGTTAAACGCCATAATTTTTACAATTTTATTTTTTTTTTTTTAATTTTCATTTTTGAATGAAAACAAAAAAAAAATCGGAAATAGCATCAAATTTTAGAATAAGTTTACATTTGTTTGAATTGTTTACCTTTGGCACGAATTATGGCATTCAAACGGCCAGTGAAACCGTCACACGCTGCCCGAATGTTGCTCTGCGGTATTTTGGACCATTCCCGGCGAAGCGCTTGCTTGAGGTGATCGACACTTTGGTATTTTTAAATGCTAACCTTGCTTTCCAAAATACTCCAGACACAAAAGTCCAACGGATTGGTATCCGTAAATTTTGGTGACCACTGTGCGCTGGAAATGAAGCAAGGTACCTCATTTTATAACCATTTTAGGGTGGAGCGTGCTGACTCCTGTTGGAATGTCCAAGGTATGCGGACAAAATGTTTGTGTGCCCAATGTTTTAATACACCCTCCAGAATATTTTCGCCATAATATTCGTCATTTATTCTGATGTCATGGTTGATTAATACGAGCGGAGAGCGACCATCGGTTGTTATGGCGGCCCACACCATCACCATGGCCGGCACCTGAGTTCTGGTGGCCAACCGAAGGTGTAC